GCGCGTTCTTAACTCCCCCCCCCCCCCAGCTGCATTTAAAGGACATCTTAAAGTGCATGTAAACGTACGTGGCTTTGCACTTGGCAGTGCTGTCTCAAGCATTTCCAGTCCTGCCCAGTTCATCTCTGTAGACTACAGAACCAGTGACGTCACAAGGGGGGTGCGGCCTGCACCCGGGTGACACCATTAGAGGGGTGTCACCCCCTCTAAAAAGTCGGCACTCGGTCATGGACCGAGAGCCCGACAGTGTCAGCAGGAGAGAGGAGGGGACCCAGCGGCATACCTCATCCCGCCGGGTGGATGCCCCCTCTTCTCTCTCTTCCGGTGTCCATCACCAAGATGGCCACCGGCAGCATTAATTAGATGGCCGTGGATGCGCGATGACATCATCGTGTGCACGCGTGGTGATGTCATGCGCATGTCTCCAAGTGACACCTGGCCTATGTTACGGAGAAGGGGGCAGTAGTCATACTTCCTGTGCGCCATCAGCGTCACTGGAGTCCCTAGGTGACATTTGGGGTCTAATAATAATGAGCTATTGGCTTCACTCTGACCGAGCAGATGGAGGTTTTCATCATACTGCGGCCTTCTCTCTCCTCTGCAGCCTGTGTAGAGTAGATGTTGCTAGGGGGAGGAGCCTTGTTGTTATGGAAAAAAAATGCCTCAAAAAGATATGAAGACGTGTTTTTGATGCAATTGCACTGAAGCCTATGGAGGCCAAAGAAGAACCTGCAGCAGGAAGAAGGCGGCTTCAACGTCCATCATACTGCGGCCTTCTCTCTCCTGTGCAGCCTGTGTAGAGTAGACGTTGCTAGGGGGACGAGCCTTGTTGTTATGGTAAAAATAAGTCAAATACGCATTGAGATACGTTTTTGATGTGATTGCAGTGATGCTCGTGGGGGACAAAAACGCACTCTGTCGCCTCAAAAGTGTTTTCAAAAATGCACAACAGCAAACCGCACAGATGTGAGCGCCACCAGAGACAGCGGGATTCTTCCTGTCATGTGACACGCCATAAACCGCACAGATGTGAGCGGGCGCCATAGGAAATGGCGGGATTCTTCCTGTCATGTGACACGCCATAAACCGCACAGATGTGAGCGGGCGCCATAGGAGACGGCGGGATTCTTCCTGCAATGTGACACGCCATAAACTGCACAGATGTGAGCGGGCGCCATAGGAGACGGCGGGATTCTTCCTGTCATGTGACACGCTGTAAACCGCACAGATGTGAGCGGGCGCCATAGGAAATGGCGGGATTCTTCCTGTCATGTGACACGCCATAAACCGCACAGATGTGAGCGGGCGCCATAGGAGACGGCGGGATTCTTCCTGCAATGTGACACGCCATAAACTGCACAGATGTGAGCGGGCGCCATAGGAGACGGCGGGATTCTTCCTGTCATGTGACACCCCATAAACTGCACAGATGTGAGCGGGCGCCATAGGAGAAGGCGGGATTCTTCCTGTCATGTAGCATGCCGTAAACCGCACAGATGTGAGCGGGTGCCATAAGAGATGGCGGGATTCTTCCTGTCATGTGACATGCCATAAACCTGCTGCTTGCTTTTTCTGCGTCAGTGGGGTGTAAGAGCCGCCGCCTGCGTTTACAGGAGGATGGCCATGTTTCTATCCGTACAGTTCGGCCAAGCCTGCGCAAAATTGTCAATGACACCCCAAAATCGGCTGCGGCCGGGGCATTCCCTGACACTTTCTAACCTATAGCGGCGGGGCGGGGAATGCCTCGGCCACAGCTGATTGGGCCAAGAGGAGGGGGGGTGTCAGCCACATTTGGTCCACTTCAAACTTTCGCATTGTGTCAAAAACATGCGACGCCCTTGCGGTGACATTACATGCTTGTCACACCTGTGCCATCAAAATTAATGGGCTGATGTGCGGCAATAACGTGACACACGCAACACAGAAGCATGAACACAGCTCCAACCCTTCCCGCACTGGCAATGTGGCTGCTATGAGCCCGCCCTTTTATACAAAGGGGGTTATCCATTCCTTTCAAGGATTGGCTCTTGTGAATCAGCTGACCGGGGAAGGGGCTTTGCCGTGCTTTATGGGTTCTTCCATAGAACCTCATCTGGTCTCATACAATGACCCCCCCCAGTCCTGTCAGGGCTTACTGCTCACATATCAGGACCTTTATGTAGTCCATGGCTATAGGTGCTGATCACTTTAAGGATCACTCCCTGCCATCACTGAGGCATTTCATATGTCACTGATATCAAAATGGTGACAAGAAGAAGCCCCGCCCCTGACTCGGGAGCCTTTCTTTAATCTGCACTAAGATGGCGACACCGGTCCCGCCTCCATCTCTTCTATAATCACCATGGCAACCGCTGCAGCCATCTCCCTCAGCATCCCCACGCGAGCCGCACGGCCCCGCCCCGTTCTTCCGTGCACGTCCCCCCGGGGCGGTGCCAACCACGCCTTCATTCAACCTGGACCAACGTCTGATTGGCCTGGCCGCAACAGGGCTTCTTCCTGGGGACACGCCCACGCTGACTAATGTGAGGAGAGTCACCGAAACCGGAAGCGGTACCGGGAGGCAGCAGAGACAGGCGGAAGTGGAGGGATCTCTCCGGTATTCCTGTGGAGGGTAAGGATGAGGGAGTGTGTTTATGTATGTGTGTATGACCGGAGAGCGTGTTCTTCTACCTTCCTGGACCTGGTGCACTGACATCACATAATGTATTCTCATAGTACATGCTAAGATCATGTGATGTGTCCCAATAGTACATGCTAACATCATGTGATGTGTCCCAATAGTACATGCTAAGATCATGTGATGTGTCCCAATAGTTGATGCTTAGATCTAGTGACGTGCTCCCATGGTACATGCTAACATCATGTGATGCGTCCCCATAGTACATGCTAAGGTCATGTGATGTGTCCCAATAGTAGATGCTTAGATCCAGTGATGTGCTCCCATAGTACATGCTAACATCATGTGATGGGTCCCCATATTACAAGCTAAGATTCAACGATGTGTACCCATAGTACATGCTAAGACCCAGCGATGTGTCCCCATAGTACATGCTAAGATCCAGCTATGTGTTCCCATAGTACATGCTAAGGTCCCACGATATGTTCTCATAGTACATGCTAAGCTCCCGTGATGTGTTATCATAGTACATGCTAAGCTCCTGCGATGTGTTCCCATAGTACATGCTAAGATCCCGTGATGTGTTCCCATAGTACATGCTAAGATCCCGTGATGTGTTCCCATAGTACATGCTAAGATCCCGTGATGTGTTCCCATAGTACATGCTAAGATCCCGTGATGTGTTCCCATAGTACATGCTAAGATCCCGTGATGTGTTCCCATAGTACATGCTAAGATCCCGTGATGTGTTCCCATAGTACATGCTAAGATCCAGCTATGTGTTCCCATAGTACAGGCTAAGCTCCCACGATATGTTCCCATAGTACATGCTAAGCTCCCGCGATGTGTTCTCATAGTACATGCTAAGCTCCCGTGATGTGTTCTCATAGTACATGCTAAGCTCCCGTGATGTGTTCCCATAGTACATGCTAAGATCCCGTGATGTGTTCCCATAGTACATGCTAAGCTCCCGCAATGGGTTCCAATAGTACATGCTAAGATCCCGCGATGTGTTCCCATAGTACATGCTAAGATCCCGTGATGTGTTCCCATAGTGCATGGTAAGATCCCGCCTGTGTCTCTCCTTCGGTCAGACGTTGTTGGTTGGACGGCTGTAGTTGCTCAGATTGGGGGATCATCATACGGTACATTGATTGGTAACACGCGTGTTCATACAAGAACGGTACTGTACGGAGTCAGAATCTGCGGTGATGGGAATCCTCCATCCATAAGGGGTGCCGGACTCTGGACTTTGAGATACATTTGTCAGGCTGACATTCTATTACACGGGTTCCCCAATCCAGGGGGGGGGGCGTGTCCTTCCCCATCCAGGGGGGGCGTGTCCTTCCCCATCCAGGGGGGGCGTGTCCTTCCCCAATGTCACTTCCAATAACATTGAAGTATTTTTAAACCCGATCGCTGTAACCTCGTATACGTGTCACATGGGATTGCCATTCCAGTTTCAGTAAAGTAACACCCGGTGCCAGGAAGTTCCTTGTTCAGGAACTTCCTGTAATGGGGTGACGGCTGTCTTCCATTTGCATTTGTGCTTCGTCACCTGTGCCCCAGGTTGAGACTGCAGGTGTCCGGGCCGACACACATTGCTCAGGTGTGGTCCATCGTTGTCACTATCAGGAAGCTGAGTCAGGACAATGATGTGCAGTTGGCACTGGAGCGAGTGCATAGAGACAGGAAGTGGTGGCTGACGCTGGAGCGAGTGCAAGGAGACAGGAAGCGGTGGCTGACGCTGGAGCGAGTGCAAGGAGACAGGAAGCGGTGGCTGACGCTGGAGCGAGTGCAAGGAGACAGGAAGCGGTGGCTGACGCTGGAGCGAGTGCAAGGAGACAGGAAGCGGTGGCTGACGCTGGAGCGAGTGCAAGGAGACAGGAAGCGGTGGCTGACGCTGGAGCGAGTGCAAGGAGACAGGAAGCGGTGGCTGACGCTGGAGCGAGTGCAAGGAGACAGGAAGCGGTGGCTGACGCTGGAGCGAGTGCAAGGAGACAGGAAGCGGTGGCTGACGCTGGAGCGAGTGCAAGGAGACAGGAAGCGGTGGCTGACGCTGGAGCGAGTGCAAGGAGACAGGAAGCGGTGGCTGACGCTGGAGCGAGTGCAAGGAGACAGGAAGCGGTGGCTGACGCTGGAGCGAGTGCAAGGAGACAGGAAGCGGTGGCTGACGCTGGAGCGAGTGCAAGGAGACAGGAAGCGGTGGCTGACGCTGGAGCGAGTGCAAGGAGACAGGAAGCGGTGGCTGACGCTGGAGCGAGTGCAAGGAGACAGGAAGCGGTGGCTGACGCTGGAGCGAGTGCAAGGAGACAGGAAGCGGTGGCTGACGCTGGAGCGAGTGCAAGGAGACAGGAAGCGGTGGCTGACGCTGGAGCGAGTGCAAGGAGACAGGAAGCGGTGGCTGACGCTGGAGCGAGTGCAAGGAGACAGGAAGCGGTGGCTGACGCTGGAGCGAGTGCAAGGAGACAGGAAGCGGTGGCTGACGCTGGAGCGAGTGCAAGGAGACAGGAAGCGGTGGCTGACGCTGGAGCGAGTGCAAGGAGACAGGAAGCGGTGGCTGACGCTGGAGCGAGTGCAAGGAGACAGGAAGCGGTGGCTGACGCTGGAGCGAGTGCAAGGAGACAGGAAGCGGTGGCTGACGCTGGAGCGAGTGCAAGGAGACAGGAAGCGGTGGCTGACGCTGGAGCGAGTGCAAGGAGACAGGAAGCGGTGGCTGACGCTGGAGCGAGTGCAAGGAGACAGGAAGCGGTGGCTGACGCTGGAGCGAGTGCAAGGAGACAGGAAGCGGTGGCTGACGCTGGAGCGAGTGCAAGGAGACAGGAAGCGGTGGCTGACGCTGGAGCGAGTGCAAGGAGACAGGAAGCGGTGGCTGACGCTGGAGCGAGTGCAAGGAGACAGGAAGCGGTGGCTGACGCTGGAGCGAGTGCAAGGAGACAGGAAGCGGTGGCTGACGCTGGAGCGAGTGCAAGGAGACAGGAAGCGGTGGCTGACGCTGGAGCGAGTGCAAGGAGACAGGAAGCGGTGGCTGACGCTGGAGCGAGTGCAAGGAGACAGGAAGCGGTGGCTGACGCTGGAGCGAGTGCAAGGAGACAGGAAGCGGTGGCTGACGCTGGAGCGAGTGCAAGGAGACAGGAAGCGGTGGCTGACGCTGGAGCGAGTGCAAGGAGACAGGAAGCGGTGGCTGACGCTGGAGCGAGTGCAAGGAGACAGGAAGCGGTGGCTGACGCTGGAGCGAGTGCAAGGAGACAGGAAGCGGTGGCTGACGCTGGAGCGAGTGCAAGGAGACAGGAAGCGGTGGCTGACGCTGGAGCGAGTGCAAGGAGACAGGAAGCGGTGGCTGACGCTGGAGCGAGTGCAAGGAGACAGGAAGCGGTGGCTGACGCTGGAGCGAGTGCAAGGAGACAGGAAGCGGTGGCTGACGCTGGAGCGAGTGCAAGGAGACAGGAAGCGGTGGCTGACGCTGGAGCGAGTGCAAGGAGACAGGAAGCGGTGGCTGACGCTGGAGCGAGTGCAAGGAGACAGGAAGCGGTGGCTGACGCTGGAGCGAGTGCAAGGAGACAGGAAGCGGTGGCTGACGCTGGAGCGAGTGCAAGGAGACAGGAAGCGGTGGCTGACGCTGGAGCGAGTGCAAGGAGACAGGAAGCGGTGGCTGACGCTGGAGCGAGTGCAAGGAGACAGGAAGCGGTGGCTGACGCTGGAGCGAGTGCAAGGAGACAGGAAGCGGTGGCTGACGCTGGAGCGAGTGCAAGGAGACAGGAAGTAGCTGGAGTGAGTGCATGGTGACAGGAAGTGGCTGAAGGAAATCGACATCTCTGTAAAAAGGATGAAAAAGCTGAATCCAGTATTTTATGGAAATGTTTATTATACACGGAGTTTCAGTAAATCATTTATTCCTCAGTTTAGATCACACTGGGGCATTGTGCGAAGGGACTTTCTGAGTCCTCTTCATGCACCTTCCCCCCAGCGCAGAACCAGTCTATAGACACGCTGACACAATGATTCTACAAGTGTTACAAAATGTCAGATTTCATTCAGAGAGTAGGGATTGTATCTTCTAGAACCTCCGGTGGCAGGAATAGCGCAGCATGTGACAGTAAGTAAAGCTGCCCTTTAAATGCCCCTCCCCCTCCCAAATGGCAGCCAACTGGCAAAATGCTCCAAGACCCCCTGTCACCACATCATTCCCCTCAAACTAAAATCTTCCAGTGAGATTATATGTGAATTGAATTTATGTTATGTACCTGTAAAAGCCCCGAGAGTGCTGCTGGGTGCCGCCATCTTGGATGTGATGTCAGCAGCACCGGCAGACTCAGAGCTGTCAATCAAGTGACCCTCTGTAGTATTCTCCTCGCTCCACTCCCAGGAGACAAATAAAGGGTAATGTTGGGAGGGGCAGAAGAGCTGGGTCAGCACAGAGAGTAGTTAAACACTCCCAGAATAGGAAAAGGATGTTCTAGGGAGTTATCTCATTCCTTTTATGTAGCGAGCGACGTCAGCCCATCACTTCCAACAACTTCCTGTTTTCCAAGCGTGCTGTGCGTCTCTTTGCATCACATCAAGCAGAAGGGAATCTCCAATTCTCAACACTACATATCCCATCATGCATTGCTTCCAACAAGCAATGATGAGGTTACATTGTTTATAAACATTGTTCAGATGTTAGAGAGATACAAAGTAACATTGTTTATAAACATTGATCAGAGGGAGATAGAGAGATACAATGTAATATTGTTTATAAACATTGTTTAGAGGGAGATAGAGAGATACAAAGTAACATTGTTTATAAACATTGTTTAGAGGGAGATAGAGAGATACAAAGTAACATTGTTTATACACATTGATCAGAGGGGAGATAGAGAGATACAAAGTAACATTGATAGTTTTGTATCTGCACAGTTTCATGTAACTGCAGAACAAAGGGATGGGCGTCCCTATTTAAACAATCTCCGTTAAAGTAAGCTGACAAAAATAAAAAAAAGTTTTTTTGTTTTTAAGTGAAATGTATTTCTATTTAACCCCTTATTATTAACCATTAGGTTACCCTAATCAGCACTTATTTCACTACATCCCCTTCCCCTTTAATTGTTATTTTCCTGCTACGTTTTTTTGCTTATTTCTTCTTTTTTTTTTTTTTATACATTCATATTTAAACTTTTTTTCATTTTTGTTTTGCTGTATTATTTGCTATTTGAAAGCATTAGAAATGTATCGCTGAATGAATAGGCTCGTGGTGGAGATGTGGTCATTGCTCTCTCAGCTCCATAAGCTGTGTACAGGGCGGGAACTGAGCTGGTTAAGAACATGGAGCAGATTTCGTCTTGTGACTAAAGCGACATGTTTGGTTTCTGGGTGTGATGAAAGTGTTCTCTAACCTCTGTGAACGAGCCTCTTCCCTGCAGCTGCGTTCTGCCCATCCGCCTGCAGTGCTGACTTCCTCTGCCTCACCTCTGCTGGACTGGAGCCTCCGTCCTAGGAATTTCCTATAGACCTGAATAGGATATTTGTCTTCTGGCCGCTCATCAGAGCAGAGAGGTGAAGCCCTGGAAGTTGGCATTATTCAACCTTCAGAGTGGTAGGTGGGAAACCCAGAGCAGAGAATGTCGGCATCCATTAAAGAGGACCTGTCAGCATAGAAATAGGACTGTTGCTAACGTATTCTTAATGCTGAAGTGTAATGTGCGCATATAATATCGTCTCTTGTCCCCCCCTCCCCACTGATTATTATTATTGTGGAAATTACCGTTCTTTAGGCCTTTTGTTGTAGACACTCACTTAGGGTTGCAGCTAACGATTATTTTCAAAATCGATTAGTTAGCCGATTATTGAGTTCGATTAATCGGATTTTAAAAAAAGTCTCCAGTGACCGGACTATTAGTTTGTATTGAGATTGTAGTCTTAGTTTATTTAATTGTTGCAGCTCTACAGTCACTATCCTTTGGTTGTTTATATGGCTTGGCAGTCTAAAAGTAAACTATTAGGAGAGATGACTGCAGTTATCGCAGCATGAACACATAGGGGACCATGGCGGCCAAGTTGGCAATTACTAATGTTATTATTATTATTATACAGGGTTTATATGGCGCCAACAGTTTGCGCAGCACTTTACAATATAAGGAAGACATTACAATCATCCAGTGCAGGGATCGGCAGAGGGGGGTTGCAGACACTGACCGGTTGGTTAGGTGGATGAGTATAGCGGCTGCATTCATGATAGACTGAAGGGGGAGGAGCCTGTGTAGAGGTCGGCCAATGAGGGAGGAGTAGCAATAGCCGAGACAAGAGACAACAAGTGGATCAGCATGCAATTCAACATTTTCTATTGAACACTCTTGTTTTCAAAAATACCTCTTTTGGGACCCAGTGACGTAATCGGGGGGTCTGTCTGCTGGTTTTGGTGGTAGGGGACGGCAGACTTCTGTACATGTCACAGCTCCCAGCCTTGGATTCTCCTTGAAGGGCGTTATATGACAGAATACACCCCCGGCATCCCTTTAGACGTGCCGCCTCCTCTCTGCTAGCAGCTCGGTACTAGGTAGACTTTAGCGATGAAGTCGGCTGATCAGTTGCTTGAGCATTCTCATCTGAAAGGAACTTATGGTGGTGCAATGATATGTATCAGAGAGTCGCACCAGGCGCCTCCTAGACCACAAATCTGTCCTTTTATTATCATAGCGTGTCACTTGGGTTCTTCTCCAATTCTTTTTGAAGGGTAAGTCCACATTCCCAGGCGAATCTTGGAACATGGAATTACCCCGACCAATCTGCCCCATCTGGCCTCCCCTACCCCCTGCTCTTACCTGCCCATGTTTGCTCCTACCCCTCTGCGGCTCCCGGTGTATGATCCGTACACAGGATTGCAGTCCTGCGGTACGTACTTTGTGACCGCGCTGACCAATTAAGCGCTTTTTATATGAAATGCACAGGGGACAATATACTGTAAAGCTCGTCCTTCATTTACAGGAAACCAGATAGGATTTGTATTGGGCTGATATTCCTATACACCGGGGGCCATGGAGGGGATTGGAACACCTGAATCCAGTGATTTGGAGGGGGAGGGGCCCAATACTTTTGGCAATATAGTGTGTATATTGATGCAGATCACTAGGAGAGCACTGATGTGTAACACTTTGCCTCATTATACCCCTCATCATCATCTTCTTTTTTTCTCCTCACAGTTTCCTCTCGGTTTGTCCACCTCTACTAGACCGCCACTTCGGGAGTCCCGATGCCTCTGGGCCTTGGACGCAGGAAGAAGGCTTCTCCGCTAATGGAGGAAGATGATGTGGGGGAACGCACGGCGTTAGGAGTGTCTCAAGCTGGCGGTGTCTCGGGTGGGTCTCTCTCGCCTCAAGCGCCCGGACTCCCGCCTCCCGCTCCTGCCCTGCGGCCTCGCCTGGTGTTCCACGCTCAGCTGGCCCATGGGAGCCCCACGGGGAGGATCGAAGGGTTCAGCAATGTGAAGGAGCTCTACGCCAAGATAGCGGAGGCCTTCAATATACCCGTTGGAGACGTGAGTACGAGACTGCTAAATACATTGGGGGCGGGGGGGTTGTAACCAAAACTGGTGCAGACAAAATCTGGAGCAGCTGTGCACGGCAACCAATCAGCTTCTCTCTTCTGTTTGTTCAGTTAAGCTGAAAGGTGGATGCTGATTGGTTGCCATGCACAGCTGCTACAGATTTTGTCTGCTCCAGTTTTGATAAATTCCCTTCAATACATCTTTCACTGAACAGTTTGATGCTGTTCTCCTGGAAGATATATAACAACGAAATCTAGTTATTCATGAAAAATCATTAACTATATATAATATAACCCGTTTCTACTGGCCCCTGCCGGCCCTTTCAGATTATCAGAGTGATCACATGATCAGGAGCATGTCATAGTGACTGATGCCATGTGACCGGGAGCAGTCAGCACACCACTAAATGGGAATGATATATTTGGCAGCACAACATACAGGCCCACCTCTGTGCTACCACATAGAAGTCTACAGCCAGTGCAAAGGGGTCAGCCTAGAGCTAGCGTTAAAAAAAAAAAAAAAAGGAAATGGCTTCCACTAATCCTTTGCATGGCAGCACTCCAAATGGGAGAGGGAGCAACCACACTGACTCAGTTATGGGTTCTATTGCTTTGTACAGTGCTGCTACTCTAACACAGTGAACATGCTTGCAGGAGGTAAGGGTACAGGGACGACCTCATCAGTGTGCTGGCCTTTCGTTGTCCAATCACAAATAATTTCACTAATTCAGGTAGTCAATTCCCCAGTACAGCCCCCTGCCTCCTTGTACATCATAGCCCTCTCCTCTTCTGGGAATGTCTAATTACTGACTGTGCAGGCCCAGCTACTCTGCTCAGTGGGGGGGTGGGGGGGCCACACACACACACACACGTAACCCGAATGTTGTCCCTGCATGTTCTGTTCTCAGTTTCGATGGTATATCTTCTGATGAAGCAGCCAGGGCCGCATTATGTGCACATTCATCCTCGTGTGACTTACCCGAGGAAGCGCCATCTAAGTACAGGGCGCAGGCAGATTCAGAGAAGACTGGGTGATATGCAGGTGTCATCAGGTGATTGGACACTGGCCAGAGCTACGAGGACCCTTATAGAACCCCTCCTACCTCCCCGCCTTGTGTCCTTGGGTAATGGATGTCGCCTTTCTACTGAGCGGAGATGTAGAATTGCTACCCTTCTTTCTTGTGGTACTTCAGTCAGGCTCTCTTGCTGCGTCCGGCCACAATATATATATATTGTGAAGCACTTATATTGTAAAGCGCTGCGCAAACTGTTGGCGCGATATAAATCCTGTATAATAATAATAATAATTTTAACTCCAGACCACTTCCCGGCCTCAACCAGGACAGTGGTCATGGGTGAACTTTCTCAGTGACCAGTGGCTGGCCCCCGGGGGGAAGGGGGTGCAGATATTTTTGATAACGGGGTTGAGTTTGGTTTTTGCCGTCACATTGATAGGGATCGCTGGTGTGACCCGGGCCTAAATTAAAAAATGATTTTCTGACTTCTGAAGACATACGTGAACTTTAGGGAGGGGGTCTCGTATATCTGCCTGAGCGCGTTCCGCAAATTCTAATAATGTGGCAAGCGTCCAGAATGATGCTGCAATAAGCGACTGGTTGATGATGGTATATACTGAGCGGTGCCGGCAGAGAATGACACTGTCTGTGTGAGCGTAGGGATCGTATTCATTCAATCAGCCGGGTTTATGTGTCGGGACGTGGGGTATGCTGTGTACAATACCTGTAATTATACCGTAAGCCTCGGATGTTGGTCTCATAAACTCTGCTGTGTGATGGACCTTTGTTGTTCCGTAGCTGACGGCTGACTCCCGGCTGCACGTCTCCAGCTGTACATTCATCGTTCTTCATTCCCTCCCCGCTCTCTCATGGGTGACCTTGCTTTGATGTATCATGGGTGACCTTGCTTTGATGTATCATGGGTGACCTTGCATTGATGTATCATGGGTGACATTGGATTCATGTGTCATGGGTGACATTGGATTCATGTGTCATGGGTGACATTGGATTCTATCTTTACACTACTTGAGTGATTTGGAGGTTTTTGGTTTCTGCATTTGAAGGGAACCTGTCATGAGGGAAAGACATGAGGTGCCATTGCTGACATCCTGCTGGTTGCCCGGCTGTTTCTGGCCTCGATGGATTCTAAATCACCGACCCAGACCTCCGGATCTGCATGCCTGCCACTGGTCAGTGACACAAAACATTGAAGATAGAGGATCAGCATGACAACCCGGCAACTAGCTATATCAGAGGGTGGCAAAGAATGACAGCCCACATCAAGCTTTCATAAGCTGGACACAAAGAGAGGTTTTTATACAATCTAGACCAGGGTGCAGCAACTTGGGGTGCCTTGTGGCTTCCTCAGGGGTGCCTTGAAATTTTCGTATCGTGCCATGTATATCCATGGTGCAAGCGGCCCGGTCACCAGCACCATGGAAATGATTTGTGCTAGTACAGATATTTACTAGCCAATTATGATATGTGCATGAGTCTTGGCAATATGGAGCTATCGCTGTTAGATTCAGGTGGGTGGAAACCTTTTTGGTAATCCATGTTGATTTAGCACCGTGCCATGTTGCCCAAACCTTACTGTATATGCACTAATGGAAGATCAACCAATATACGCAGAATATTCACTGTGTGATGGAACGCGTGAATGTCTGACATTCACCATGTGTATGGCCAGCTTAATCCATGGGTACTAGTGATGCTACTGCACTTAGACCAGGGGTGCCCACAATTTTTGTGTTAAGATTAAGAAATTAAGAAAAAAAAACCTCCCTCGCTCTCTCCTGGCTGTCTCTCCTCGCACTCCTGGCTGTCTCTCCTCACTCTCCTGGCTGTCTCTCCTCGCTGTCCTGGCTGTCTCTCCTCGCTGTCCTGGCTGTCTCTCCTCGCTGTCCTGGCTGTCTCTCCTCTGCTGCCCCCCCTCGCTCTGTCCTGGCTGTCTCTCCTCGCTCTCTCCTGGCTGTCTCTCCTCGCTCTCTCCTGGCTGTCTCTACTCCCTTTCTCCTGGCTCTCCTGGCTGTCTCTCCTTTCTCTCCTCGCGCGCTCTCTCTCTCCTGGCTGTCTCTCCTTGCTCTCTCTCCTGGCTGTCTCTCCTTGCTCTCTCTCCTGGCTGTCTCTCCTCGCTCTCCTGGCTGTCTCTCCTTGCTGTCTATCCTTGCTCATCCTCCTGGCTGTCTCTCCTTTCTCTCCTCGCGCTCTCTCTCTCTCCTGGCTGTCATTCCTCGTTTTCTCTCCCCGCTCTCTCTCCTGGCTCACCTTGCTGTATTTTGCAGTGTAAACTAATATTCTTTGATGTAATACAAAGCACTTCCACCCCCAGTATCCACCAGAAAGGTGTCGGGGAGCTCGGCTCAGCAGACTCAGGCTAATAGGGAATCATGTGTGCACAGCTAAATAAATATACCAACATGGAATAAAGGGGCCGCCATTCCCCCCCTTCCTGATCTCCCAACATCAGCTCTGGGAACTACTAGATCACCATCTACCTAATGGGCACCCCTGACTAGGAACATGGAGAAACCCGGCAACAAATACAGGTGAAACTCGAATAAGTAGTTCGTTCGAACGTTCGTTTCGTTTCGTTCGTTGAAGAAAAACATTTTTCCCCCTCAAATGTCACTTTGCAACGAATAAAAAACGAAACGAACGTTCGAACGAACTACCGAATTTCGTCCGAATCCGAATTGACTTTCACACCCGAATCCCGAAAAACGAAATAACACAAATCCGAATTTAAAACGAAACTAAACGAATATTTTGGCAGTGCACATGTCTAGTTGGCATTACGGTTCCCTGATCAGTGTCTGTAGACCAACTGGTAACCGTACTGGTTTCTAGCTGGGCCTTGCTGGATACCCCAGTACCTGAGACTTGTTTTAGTATTGTATAGTAATGACTGGGGATGCACCGATGCCAGTATTGAGTACGAGTACCGATACCAGTGCCGTGTGCCCCGATTTATCAACAAGTCGGGCAGCCGATCATCACCCGTCTTCCTGATAGAACACTGGCTTCCCTGGCAATTGGAAGAACACCGGCTTCACTTGCCGAGGCTGCCTGGCTTCCTGACCAATCAGGAAGCCGGGCGGCAGGTCATTTTCGCCTCCCAGCTTCCTGATTGTCTGGGAAGCGGCTTCATTTGCTGCTAGGCAACGTGGCTCCCTGACCAATCAGGAAGCCGGGAGGCAAGTCATTACGTGGCGCCAGGCTGCCTACCAACAAGTGAAGCCGGCTTCCTAGCCCATCAGCTGGGAGGCAGGTCATAACCAACCGCCCGCCTTCCTGATTTGAAAGGAAGCCGGTTCCATGCTCCCTCTGCACTCCTGATCAGAGGGAGATTTCCCTCTGACCCGAAGTTCCGGTATTGGAGCAATTGGGCGAGTAAGAGTACTCACCCAAATACTCGGTATCGGCATCGGTGCAACCCTAATGCTTACCTTAGCACTCTTCAGAAGGACCTTTGTCAACAGGCTTTTGTTTGGTTCAGATGGGTTTTGCATTCCCATACAGGAAAAACCTGCTTAAATCTGGTCGAGTGCAGGTCAGGAGGTCAAGTGCAGGTCAGGAGGTCAAGTGCAGGTCAAAATGCACTTGGGCGGATCTCGACATCGATGTCGGGATCCGCTGCGGCGTCTCAGTATACCGCGAGCTGTAGCTCCCTATATACTGAGCTTAGGGTGACGGGAGGACGCTAGCTTGTGTCCTCCCGTTACCCTAAGGAGAACTATGGGGAAAAGCCCTGACCCCGTAGTTCTCCTTTAATGAATTCTGAATAAACTCGGAAGCGTCTCACATCAAACCAATGGCAGCAACACCTGTTCTTGGACACAAGCCCTAATTTTCTTAATACTTTTGTTGTTACTCTATCGTTACCAATGCACCTTCCTCCACAGGTGATGTTTTGTACCTTGAACACTCACCGGCTGGACATGGACAAACTTCTGGGTGGTCAGATAGGCCTTGAGGACTTCATCTTTGCTCACATACGAGGACAAAAGAAGGAGCTTGAGGTGTATAAATCGGAAGAATCGTTGGGTCTCACGATCACGGACAACGGTGCTGGTTATTCCTTCATCAAGGTGCTCCTCTTCGTGTGTTGACTTCAACACTTCCAGTTTCCTAGTCTTTGTCTAATGATATCTTTTATCTACAGCGCATCAAAGAAGGCAGTATTATACACCGCATGCAGCTTATCAACGTGGGGGACATGATCGAATCCATCAACGGGAAGAACTTGATCGGTAGTCGTCACTTTGAAGTAGCCCGGGCCCTGAAAGAGTTACCGCGAGGGAGGACCTTCAACATGAAGCTCTGCGAACCCAGGAAGGCGTTCGGTAAGTACAGCAGTTTATATTATCGGTGATCAGCTGCAACCAACGACGTTGGAGGAAAAAGTACCCAGACTGGGGCTGCAACTAATGATTATTTTCATAATCGATTAGTTGGCCGATTTTTTTTTTTTTAATTTTTTCGATTAATCGGATAAAATACAAAATTCCGTAGTTTATTTAAAATACCCTGTTTCCCCTGAAAATAAGACCTACCCCAAAAATAAGACCTAGTACTATTTTTGGGAATTGCATAGAGCTGCAGCTAACGATTATTTTCAAAATCGATTAGTTAGCCGATTATTAAGTTCGGTTAATCGGATAAACAATAACATACATTTTTAAAAATGGCTCCAGTGATGGGACTACTAGTTTGTATTGAGGTTGTATGATTATAATCGATTATGTTGATTAGTTGTTGCAGCCCTAGAATTGCAAAAATATAGGACCTACCCCGAAAATAAGACCTAGTTGTGACCATTCCCGGGTTAAGGTACGGCGCCCCTGATTGCCCTGATCACCATATTTGTGTACATGAATAAGTGTGGATTGTTGAAAAAAAAAAAAAATAAGACCTAGTGTGTTTTTTTTGAGCCAAAAAAAATATAAGACAGTGTCTTATTTTCGGGGAAACGCGGTATAATACACAAATGCCGCGTTACAGAACCTAAAGTTTACTTTAGAATGAAACGTAACGCACATTTTTTTTTGAAATCGTACTGCAGTGGAACGCTCACACTGCGGACGGGAGGCGCATAATTCACTCGCTGCTGTTCGGCTCCTATGAGAATAGGCCAAATGGCAGCAAGTAGCATGCCAGAGGTTCGGCTCAGCCGATCCAGATGTTGGATCGGCTGAGTCGGAACGCGTTCTTCACTTCGGCTCAGCATGTTCGGCTCACTTCACTTCGGGTGGGTTACTCACTCGGCTGCTTTGTGAATAACCCTCAGGCCCCATTCACACTGAGCAACATGAAAATCGCGCGACTTTGAGCGACGAGCGATATTGAGCCACGTGTTGCGCGACTTATTCCTATTGGGCTGTATGCAATCAGGAGCAATATCGCTCAAAATCGCTCGAAAAAATGTGTAGGAGCGACAAGCTACCAGCGACGAGCTACAAGCGATATTGAGCGACAAGATGTGAACAGCTCCATTGATATGGATTGGAGAAGCTACATAGAGCGATATCGCGTGGAAATATGAGCGATATCGCTGCAAAAATCGCTCAGTGTGAATGGGGCCTCATGGTGTATTTTTTTTTTTGCAGCGATAAAACCGCATGATGACGCATGTCAAAGAGGATGCAACACATAGAATTACATAGACATTAAAAGAAAAAGCGAGCACTGCGATGCATTTTAACAATAGGTTGCAGTGCACATGTTATACACACAATAACGCACGCTGCATGGTGTGTGTGAACGAGCCCTTTGCTGCCTCTGTATGAAGCCATACAGTGTTCTTATGCTGGACCCTCTGTCTTGGGACCGAGACCTTTTATCACCTCAGTACCCCCATACCTGGAGCTACGGATCTCTTCCTATCTGTCACATAAAGCAGTGGCTGTAGTCGCACTCTTCCTGATGGAGCCATGCGTGTAGCACAGTAGTCACTCTACAATAAACCCGGGTGTAAAGTACACACCATAAATTCATGGAGTGTCATGCGTGTCAGTTAGAGCTGCAGCTAACGATTATTTTCAAAATCGATTAGTTAGCCGATTATTAAGTTCGATTAATCGGTTAATTCGTAATGAAACCGAATGTAGAATATTGTGGTAGCATTTAGGGGGGTGCTGTGTTTTGGACTTGGTGGGAGCGGGGTACATTACGCAAGATGCTGGATATCTGTACTGGAGTTTACGGAGAGTCTCTTAGCCAAAATATTGACATTTGATAACATCTAGATGTTGGGGGATGTGCAGTGCCTTGGGATGGGGAACCCTCAAAGTACTTGATGTTTGAAGTGCATTGTATGTATGTGTGAATCATTCTGAGGTATGTATAGGGTGTGGGTAGGAGTAGAGTAATATTTGGGGTTGATTTTCCAAAGTGGGGTATGAAGTGAGGGAGGGGGTACAGCAATATTTGGGTGGATCTGCTATGGTGAGTACAGGGTGAGGGAGGAGGTACAGTAATATTTTGGGTGGGACTGCAGTGGTGAGTATGAGGTGAAGGAGGAGGTATTTGGGGTTAGGCCACCAAAGTGGGTACAGGCTGAGAAAAGGGGTACAGTAATATTTGGTGTGGATCTGCAGTGGTCGATATAGGGGGATATTTGAGGTGGATCCACCATTATGAGTCAGGAGGGGGTATGATAGTATTTGGGGTTAAGTTGCCAAAGTGGGTACAGGGTGAAGGAGAGGGTACTCACCCTGTAATATTTGGGGTGGAACTGCTATGGTGGATATAGGGAGTGTAGTTGCCAGGATATACCGCTCTGGTGGGTGCAGGAATGGTGTACAGTAGCATTTGGGGTGGAGTCACTGTGGTGTATTCAGGGTGGGGGGTGGTGGGGTAATATTTGGTATGTGGTCACTGCGGTGTGTACAGGGTGAGGGATGGGTAGAGTAATATTTTGGGATGGAGTAACATTTGGGGTATGTATTAAGGGATCAGTGGACTCACCTGAACAATGGACATTTCAGAATGTGATCATGTGGAGTGAAATAACTGGTTTCTAACTCCATTGACTTCCTGTATTCTCTCCCTTCTTGCTGTCCAGGTGTCTGTCATCGAGGAGAAAGCCATCCAGAAAGTGGACGACCTGCTGGAAAGCTATATGGGGATCCGAGACAGCGAGCTTGGTGAGAACTAAAATACTACGGCTACTATAGGAAACTTTCCCTGTTTTTACTCAGAGGGTACACTTTTTAAAGTGAGCTTGTGCTGCTGGGGAGGGTGGCAGTAAAGTGAGCCCGTCCTGCTGGGGAGGGTGGCAGTAAAGTGAGCCTGTACTGCTGGGGAGGGTGGCAGTAAAGTGAGCCTGTACTGCTGGGGAGCGTTGCAGTAAAGTGAGCCTGTGCTGCTGGGGAGGGTGGCAGCAAAGTGAGCCCGTACTGCTGGGGAGGGTGGCAGCAAAGTGAGCCTGTACTGCTGGGGAGGGTGGCAGTAAAGTGAGCCCGTACTGCTGGGGAGGGTGGCAGCAAAGTGAGCCTGTACTGCTGGGGAGGGTAGGAGTAAAGTGAGCCTGTGCTGCTGGGGAGGGTGGCAGCAAAGTGAGCCCGTACTGCTGGGGAGGGTGGCAGTAAAGTGAGCCTGTACTGCTGGGGAGGGTGGCAGTAAAGTGAGCCTGTTGCTTTGCTCGTTTCGGCTCCCGTAAAGAGTAGAGAATGTGTATTTGTTGGATATTGACTCGTCTCTTCCGTTCCTCACAGCCGGCACCATGGTGGAGTTGGGCATCGACAAACATAACCCCGACGACTTCTCACAGGCACTGGACCGCACACTAGGAGACTTTGCCTTTCCGGACGAGTTTGTATTTGACGTTTGGGGGGCCATTGGCGATGCCAAGGCTGGACGATACTAAGCTACTTTTAACTCCTTAATCTCCTCCGAAGGGGATCAATCTGCTGCTGCCCCCTCCCCCCCATGCTCTTCTCCACTACCCAGTTCCAGGAGACGCTCCTGTAATGACATCACTGGAGTGGGATGACGTCACAAGGGCTAAACCACTGTAGACTTTTAACTGGAGTTCCTGCCCTGCTGGAATTTCCTTCACGCTCGATCTGCCTTTTAGGTCTTTCACCAGAACTGCTCCTCACACTTCTGAATGTGGAGAAGTTCTCTCTGTTGGCTTACCTTATACTATGGATGGCTGAAGGAAGAGGAGGAGCCTGGGCACTGAATCTCCAACGGGTGACTTCTTATATCCCGGCTGATGTGGGTGATTTGCTACTAAACCTGGGTTTTCAGACCACGTTGGCCAACGTCCTCCCCCCATTGCAGGGCTCCCAGTCTCCTCTGCTGTAACCTGGGGTCAGCTCCTTGTGTGGACAATACAATCCCATGCACGTAACTGCACAACTTCTCGTTCCACTCCACTACATTCCTTGGATTCCTCTCGCCGCGGATGAATGAACACCATTGAGGTCGATGGATTCAGAGATTATCTAGTGAAATGGGATTTAGCCAAGCTAACGAGATAAAAACAGGAATTCCCCTTTTCTATAGAGGACATCTCGCAGGATTCCTGTACGTAGGCTCGGTGAACATGCGTAGTGTAATATAAACCCGTACTTGCCTCTTACAAGAGGCCGGGTTTTTTTTTAACACTTAATAAAATATGTTACAGACCCTTTCTTTGACAAGATTCTGGTCTTTAGCGCCACCCTGTGGTGGGGCATGATGTTGCAATAATAGTACAAGCGTCTCTGGTTTACTCAGAGGACGGAGAGAGGTCAGTGACCTAGTTGTGTTTTGTTTAACATGATCTGTTTTTTTTCGGTGTACCCCGTCATGACTGTAATAGAGAAAAGGTAACTATGGTTATTAAAAGATTTTATACACAATGCTGCCTTTTGGTGAGTTATGTTCCGCTTCCTTACCATGGAAATTACCCTTCTGTAGGCCCTTTGTTGTAGATGGTCACTATCAGTGGGTTGTTTATACGGCTTGGCTGTCTGAAAGTAAACTGTTAGGCCTCATTCCCACACGAATCGGCCGGCACCTACAGCTACGTGATTCGTGCGGGGCCGTACCAAGCAGCTGCTGGGAAGGACAGGTGCTGCGTGTGATTAGTACGCAGCCCCTGTCCTTCTCTATGGGGCTACGCGGCCGTACGCCCCCCTACGCTCACCTCATTTGCAGGTCCGTAGGGGTGCGGGTGATCGTATTCATACGCCACCGGAATGGATCCTGTATGCGTCGCGGCCAGAAAACCCGCACCCCTATGGACCTGCAAATGAGGTGAGCGTGGGGGGCGTAGCCCCATAGAGAAGGACGAGGCTGCGTTCTAATCACACGCAGCTCCTGTCCTTCCCGGCAGCTGCTTGGTACGGCCCCGCACGGAGCTGTACGTGCCGGCCGATTCGTGTGTGAATGAGGCCTTAGGACTGCGAGATGACTGCAGGTACCTCTTCATGAACACCTAGGGAACCATGGCGGCCAAGGTGGCAATTACTAATATGTTATTATTAGGGATGCACAGATATATATCGGCCGGCGAAACATATCAGCCGCAAATGGCACTTTTGGCTAAATGCCGAAAAGTGCAATTTTCCTGGCGATACATCAGCGCATCGCTGCTTTCTCTCCTCCCTCCCCCCCCCCCCCCCGCGCCCCGCCCCCTCTCTTCCCCCCCGCTGGGCGCTGCTCTGTGTCCCAGCGGGGAGGAGAGAAAGTGTCACAGGCAGCCGAGCGCTGCGGGAGGAGAGCGCTGTGAGCGGCCGGCGTCTCTCCTCCCTCCTGGCACAGTCCGGCAGAGCGGTGTGTGGGCGGAGACAGCCCGTACTGTCACAGGAGGTTGAGCTCTCCTCACCGCACCACTCGCTCAGCCTCCTGTGACAGCGAGTCAGGAAGGAGAGCGGGTATAAGCCGTCAGTGATCTCTGACTGTAAATAATTGAGGACAGAGTATGGTTACTATATCCTCAATTATGAATGAACGGGAAGAGATCTACATCACTTCCTACATCACTTCCTGTTCACTCATGATTGTAGTTATAGTAAACACACTCTGTCCTCATGTTATGAATGAACAGGAACACTAAGTGTAGAGGATTCCTGTTCATTGCTAACAGGGGCTGCAAAAAAAGAGATTGTGGACTCTGTGTCTCTGAGGACTCTGTGCTCTACATCTCTTCTATTTTAAAAGGGAAATATCAGGGGGTCTGTTTAGATCCCCAATATTTCCCCAAAGCCCCTAAAAGTAAAGTAAAAAATATTTAATAAAAAATGAATCGATAAATATTAAAAAGTTTATAAAAATTTTAAAAAAATATTTAAAACATTTGAAAATTTTGAAATAAAAAAACCTTTTCAGTTTCGGCCTGACGACAATTTTTTTTATTTTTTTGTTTTCGGTTTTGAAATTTCCATTTCGGTGTTACTATACGGGCTTTATAGAGCGCCAACAGTTTGCGCAGCGCTTTACAATATAAGGATGACATTACAATCACAATACAATTCAAGACAAGATGGTAAGGAGGGCCCTGCCCCTGAGGGCTTACAATCTCTAAAAGGGGAGGGGCCAGTGATACATGAGGAGGTAGCTGTGTGGGGATGAATTGAGAGACTCTAGAGAAGTCCTGGAGGCGAGTTTGGGAGTTGTTGACGAGGGAGCTAGAGAGCAGGAGGTCTTGGGATGAGCGGAGGGGACAGTTAAGTTAAAACTTTGAGACAAAGTTGGTGATATAGCCGGGGGCAGAGTTGTTGATGGCTTTGTAAGTGCTTAATATTTAGAATTGTATCCTTTGGGTTATGGAAGCCAGTGTAGGGATTTGCAGAGGGGGATGGGGGGTGGAAGCCAGTGGAGGGATTGGCAG